TTTAAAAGAAACACAATAATTACTTTTAAAAATTAAGTTAAAACTACCTTAAAACTTTCCTTCATTTTGTTCTTAATGAACACTCTGTCCATTTTTTTTTTCTGGTCTACCGGCTTTTAAAGCTAAATCAAGTTCAGCTTTTTTATTCTGAAACAACTCACCCTCTAACCAGGGTACTTCTTGTTTAGTTAGTCTTGCAAAATTACGATTATGCTTTGTATACTTTACTCTAAATTTCAGAATAAAAGTCTAATTTTTTCTTGCAAACTTGCAAGCTTGCAAACCCACATGCAAGCTTGCAAACCCACATGATTAATACCAACGTCCTCAATTTAGGTACGTGAGTGAAAATTTCAAATTGTTTAAATATTCTACTGTTATATATCATTAGAAAGAGGACCAATACAGTATTTTAAAGGTGAAAAAATTATCAAAAACGAACAATTAGTACACAAGTTATGACAGTTTAAGTACCGATTTTTCGATATATGGAATTGTTGAAGAAACTGTGGTCAAAATTATGTTTTTCTTCACTTAAATTGTCATAACTTTATTAATTCTAATCGAAATACAAATATCTTGATGTCAAAAGATAGGTATAAGAGTGGGCTACAAATTTTTGTTAAACTCTAACTACCGGGTGTATTGGATGGACAGAGGGGGCACCAAACCATCACCTTACCCGTATGAAACTAAACATTTTTTTCACAAAAAAAGTCTTTTTTCAACACATAAGTATTTTAAATATACAAAAACATTGTTATAAATTTATATTTAACCACCAGAGTATATAAGAGGCGTATGTTAACGTTGGAGGTGGGTGTGGTGGTGATGGTTTGATACACCCTAGTATCATATAAGACTTGTTTTCATAAATATTTTTATCTTTACTAAAATGAATTCATTTAGTATACAATATAAAATTATGTTCTACAAGAATTTACGTGGTGTTACTATTACGAATTTAAGTCGTGTTTACATCGACGTATGGGAGGGGAGAATAACCCCCCCTCCCCAACTTAAAAAAAAATTAAAAAAAAATTAAAATGACACAACTACTGTTTCCTAAAGTCCCAAAACAAAGTTTTTTTCTGTATAAAAAAGGTTCTATAAATTAATACTGTACAACCACCACACATTGAAGGTAAGTGTAAAACTCATGTTAAATGTGTTGACCATGTTTTAACTACCCCAATATCGCAAAAAAATTTAATTATGAAATATTTGATTGGTTATTTAAAGAACAACAACAAAGAAGTAAAAAATATATCTTACCCGGTAAAAGGTACATCAGTGTTGCATCCATTCTCAAAAGAGATGGGCTATCCCCCCCTCCTTTCCCCAAATTAATCATTTTTTTTTTAAAAAAAGCATTTTTGATTACTTGGAGAATTTTTGGTTAAAATATTCTTATACAGAGTGACTTCTATTATCAGTCAATAGTGGTAAAAAGGTAATCAAAACAAGGTATTTACCAACCTTTATAAATCTTCAAATCTTTCATATAGCGCTTGATACTAGTTTGGTTAACAAAAAGTTAGGCTTTTTCAAACTAAAAACCAAAAAAATATTATTAACACTAAATAATGTTTGATTATTTTAATGATGCTTTATTTCATAAAGTTTTTTCTTGGCTTTTAGTGAATGATTACAATGATAAATTATACTAATGAAATTATTTCATAACCATTTTTAACAATAGACACCACGTGAAGGTAAGCCAGAGTCGCCTATCAAAAATACATAGCAAGTTACAACACTTGCAGTACTTTTGTTTAGCAAGTCACAACACTAGCAGTACTTTTTTTTTTTTCAACAAGTCACAGCAGCTTTTTAATCTATAAATTTCAAATTTATATATTTGCAGTGTTTTAACAAAATAATATCTAGTCAACTCTCTGGAAACAATATCTGCAACAAGCTGAAACTTTTTCATGCAATGTTCTACAGCTTTGATATCCATTTTATTAACCAACCTTTAATAATTTTTAAATCTTTCAAATAGCCCTTTGGCTGTTTCAAACCAAAAAACAAATAAAATGTTATTAAAAAGAAATAATAATGGTTTGTTTATTTTTTATCTCATATAGTTTTGTCTTGGCTTTTAATGAATGATTACAATAATAAATTTCTTTTAGCTAGTCACAACACTGGTAGTATTTTTCAGCAATTCATTTGTAGTACTTTTTTAGCTTAAATTTCAAACTTGTACTTTCACAGTGTTTTATTAATATAATATAAAATTAATAAAATTGTAACTCTTCTGAAATAACATTTACTTGGATGCCTGTCTTTGATAAATATTGGCTCTAATTTTAGCCTGATGCAATCGATTGCTAACTCTATTTTTACGGGCTACATGAACTGAGCATTTAACAAACTTATCTCTCAAATTAATAATATAGAAACCTTACCAGCTGCAACAGATAACAAGGATATTAAAGATTAAATAATACAATGACACAAAAGATTAAATGGTACATGTAAATATTACATATTAAATATACAATAAGATAGTACATATTAAATAGTATAATACTGCATAATACACAAAATCAGACTATATTTCTCAATACATACACATAAAAATACACATTAATCTCTTACCAAATAATGAAGTAAATGTTACTAAAGAATTAAAAAGAAATAAGTAATAACAATAGTAATATAATGTTTACTAAAATAAACTTTACTTCAAGTTACAACTTAGTTATTACAACATCTTTAGCTAGTGTGTATCAATAAATTAAACACCTTGAGCTTGTGTATCAATTAAGTAATAATCTTTAGTTAGCATGTATCATTAAACTATACCATTGAAATTATTAAAATTTACCAAAATTACAAATCTGCTGTCTAAATTCACCTAAAAGCCAACTTTAAATTACTTACCTTATTATAAGATTAAGTTATAACACTAACATTACAAAAAAAAAAGTTTAAATGACTAAATAACTAAAATATTTTAAACTTTATTTACTAACAGTTTGTTCTAAATTGTCTATAGAAAAAAAAATAACAATGATTCAATAAAAAACATGAAACAATCAGGAATATATTAATAAACAACTGTAAAAAAACTTCGTGGATGCACAAAAACCTGCACAAAAAACATAGCATAATAAAGATATATAATTGAATATTGAGAGTAAAAGACTAAATCTTTTTTAGAAAAAGATGCATGATACAACAAGTAGTAGCATATTGCAATAGTTATTGGAGAGACTTACAATGTAAGATAAAATATGTTATAATATTACTAATATGTCAGTTACATTTTTTAAAAATTCAACTTTAAAGTAAGGAAACATTAAAATTCATTTAATAATAACTTTACATAAAGGCAAATAATTTTTTTAAAATCTTAATAAATAGAGAACAATATTAAAAACTTTTATCAATATCTTTACTTTCCATTTTATTTAATCTTAAAAACTGAAAATTTTATTTAATCAAAATCAAATATAAACAATGTTTATTCAACCCCTCTGTCTCCCGCAAACACTTCAGCAAAATGAAAATTAGGTACCAAAAGTGCGACAAAAAATAGACACCCTGCTACAACTTTTTTTTCAATGAAATTTTCCAAGTGCATAGATAAATGAAAAACTTAAAAAAAAGAATAGTATAGAAAAAAAAAATGAGCATATCTTCGACACTAATTTAATGCCCAAAGTACAACAAAGTTTTAGACATAAAAAAACTCAATAAAAAAGCCTTCTAGTAAAATAATAAACCTCACAATAATAAAGTTTAACTATTCTAGTTTCTAAAAATAATCTATATTGATATCAAATTCTAAAAAGTTTTTCAACTAAACACGTCTTCCCTACGCTAGCTAAAAAAAAAATCTAAAAAGCGTGGCACAGTTTTTTAGCACAATATTCGGTTCCGTAAAACGGATATTTCCACGTACCTAATAAATATATATATATATATATATATATATATATATATATATATATATATATATATATATATATATATATATATATATATATATATATATATATATATATATATATATATATATATATATATATATATATATATATATATATATATATATATATATATATATATATATATATATATATATATATATATATATATATATATATATATATATATATATATATATATATATATATATATATATATATATATATATATGTATATATATATATATATATATATATATATATATATATATATATATATATATATATATATATATATATATATATATATATATATATATATATATATATATATATATATATATAGTACTTAAATGAGCAAAGTTTGATCAAATTGAGGGGCTGTTAATTTTACATGGTCATAACTTTTAGGCACAATAATACAATTAAATTAAATTGAAAAACTGAAGGTATATTTAGTATTAGATAGCAGGGCCGTACCAAGGGCGGGGCCAGCCGGGCCGCAGCCTGAGGCGCCAAAATTGGGAGGGCGCAAAATTCCCCAAATTAATTTATTTATTTTCACATTATGAAACTAATTTGCGTGGCGTCACTTTTATGTTGATAAGAAAATCAATTAAAATTGCGCCTCCTGACGAACTTTAAAATAAAAAGCTCATTTACCAAACAGAAGAGCGCCCTTAAACACTAAAAAGTTGTATTTTCTGAACATTATCTTTTACAATGAATCGTGCAAAAAAATTATCTGGTGCTGAATTTAAGAAGAAAAGAAGAGACCGTCTTGAAAGTGACGCAAAACTAAGAAATTGTTTCAAGAAGTGCTTGGTAACAAACTCTTCTGTGGAAAAACAAATTATTTCAGAGGATATTTGCAATGAAGTTGATAATGATTCAACAGCTGAAGTTGCTGCTACATCTTTAATTACTGACTTAAATTCATATCATCCATTGGAATTAATTGAAGAGGAGATTTTGAATGGCCAAAGTTAAGACAAATTTGGACCAAATGATTCAGAAGCACAAGAAGATAGAAATTCTCAGCTTTCCAAACCAATTAAAATGGGCAACAGTGAATTTCCTCCTGAAATCTCAGAAATTTCAGCAACCTCAGGAGAAAACTTTCAACACAGTGATCCAGCTACATGGCCTAAAATGACAGATAAAACAAGGTGCTTTTTGATTCAGCATGGGCCGGAGCAAGAAAGAAGAGAATTTTTCCCAAACACACTTTGTGACTTTGACAACAGAATGCGACACTTCAGCTCAAAATGGTATGAAAAAATTCATCCCAATGGTGAAAAATTTGTTCGCTACTGGCTGCTATACAGCAACAAAAAAGATTCTTTGTTTTGTTTTTGCTATCTGCTATTTTCAACGACAAAAACCAACAATTTTTTAGAAATTTCAAAAGGATTTTGTGACTGGAAAAAACTAAACCCAAGAATTCCAGAACACGAAAACAGCAATGAACACCAAAGATGCTATTCTGATTGGAAAAATCCGGAAAAAAATCTCAAGGAAGGAAAGATCTTGGATTCTGATCTGCAGAGAGTTATCAACGGAGAGATGAAAAAGTGGAGTGATATCTTGAAAGTGATTGTTGATGCAATTTTGTTCTGTGTCAAGAACAATCTTGTCCTTCGGGGTTCAATAGAAGTAATTGGAGAGCAAAACAGTGGCATCTTTCTGAACTTAATTAAGCTGATAAGCCATTATTATCCTTTAGTGGCTGAACACGTTGCATCCGCTAAGGCAAAGAAAACCACAACATCCTACTTTTCTCCTCGAATTCAAAATGAGCTGATTGAATTACTTGGGCAGAAAGTCAGGAATGAAATTTTGTCAAATGTCAGAGAAGCTAAATACTACTCTGTTTTGTTTGACTACACTCCAGATGCCTCCCACAAAGAGCAGATGACCCAAATAATCAGGTATGTCCACATCAATGAGGAAACTTGTACAATTGAGGAAAGCTTTGTGGACTTCATTGAATTTCACTTCATTGAAAAAACTGGAAAGGGCTTTGCAGCTGAAATCACCGAAAAACTGGAGAAGGATGGCCTGAGCATTTCTGATTGTCGGGGCCAAGGTTACGACAATGGAGCCAATATGTCTGGAAAATATAATGGCGTCCAAGCTCACATCCATTCTCTAAATGAGTTTG